GCAGGAATGTAGTTCTTCTTTCTTCTGCTGTCTGCCCTCTGGTGGATTAGGCTATCTAAGAGGCTTGTCACCTTTTATTTTTATTTAGGAATTTTTTGTTCTCCTCATTTCCCATTTTTTCTACCCATGATATGCTATCATAAAAGAAATGTTACCTACTAAATATAGAAAATTAGAGAAAGCAAAGCATATAATTCAGCACAAGTACTAATGTAAAATCATGTCTTACTTAGTCATATTGACTTCAACCAGTTTTAGTATGAAAAAAGTTCATTGACTGTTATCATGCCCTTTAAAAACTTAGAAATAAGCGTATTAATGTTTATATGCACATAGCATAGTTTTATTGTTGCATATAACATTTAAATTCCGTTTGATCTATTTTCAGGTAAACTCGTTTGTGATAATTCATAATCATTATTTGTATGATTTCAATTGAATCAATTTCAAATTGGTTGTAAGGTGGTTATATTAGTGACTAATCCTTTATTTTGATCATTAGTGTAATGCTTCACTGTCTGTGAGTTTGAAAAGACTATTCCAAGTCAGTTCTTAAATAATGATATCTAAGACATCCAAATGCTGTAGTTGGGGAGGAGAAAGTTCTCCACCCTCTTAAGTTTAGTGGCTGGGCCTACAAATTAAACTTACAAAAGAGACATTAACAGGAGGAAAGATTTATTTCATGTGCATTTGGGTAAGGAGGGGCTCACAGGAGGTAAATAAACGCCCCAAAAAGGCAGTTACACCTAGGGGCTTTTATGCCATTTTAATAAAGGGTGTTAAAGTGTGCACAAGAGGCAAAGGAAAAGGGAGTCTAGGCTTCTGAGGGAGGTGGTAAATTGTGGGAAGGTGATTAGGAAATGTATAGTAAATAAGGGTTGTTTAGTAAGGGTTATTATGCAGATTCAAGTCATCTTGGGTGTCTCTCAAGTCCTTCTGTCTCCTCCTTCTGCTTTGGGAGAGGAGGACACCTTTACAAGGGGAAATTAAATCTATGCCCTACTTTTAGGCCGAAATGTGGAGGGCAGATTGCTCCTCCTGTGTTTGCTCTTTCTTAATTGCCTTCAGCTCAAAATAATCCTTATGCTAAAGAGGCATATCTTGGGGTGGCATATTCTGATCCCCTTCACTATCTAGATATGAGAAAAAAAGAATTATTTTAAATTTGAGTTTTATTTGACATTCCCGTTATAAAAATGCAGAAAAGATATAATTGGTGTGTGAATTTTATTTTGGACTTACTGCTTATTGTAACAGTACTGTATTAATCAACAGTGTTTACTTAATTTCTTTTAATTCAAGATTCTTTAGTGTAAAGGAATATAATTATTCAGCAATATAAGGCCGAAATCAATTATGTCATCAAGATGATTACTTAGGTGATCAATGGAAACATATTGTGGACTAATGCAGGAGTATCAAATAAATAATCAGTATTTGTCTTGGGTTGTAACACTATTACTGAACCAAACTTGGGTCCACTCACCCACATAGCAAAGCCAACTTATTGACACTGGGTTGTGGTAAAGAGAAGTACAACGTTTATTGCATGGCTAAGCAAATAGAACGGGCACCTCATGGTCGAAAGAACCGAACTCGCTCATGGCTTTCAGGGAAAGGATTTTAAAGGCAGCATTTTGGGTGAGTGCTGCAGGGTGCATGGCTTTCTTCTGATTGGCTGGTGGTGAGGTCATGGGGTGGTGTTTCAAGAATTTTAATCATCAACCCTCTGATTCCAGTCAGTCTAGGGTCTGCATGCTTGTGGTCAGCACATAGTCACCATCCTCCGTGTATGGGTCTCAGTTCCTGCAGAACAACTCAAAAATATATGTCAGATTGTTGTGTATATCCTTTGAGGAGGAACTAGGACTCTATTGCTGAACTATGTTTGTTGACTGCTTTTCCTCTGCATTTCTTCACATCCCTAATTAGTAACTGTTTGACTCTGTTCCTTGGAACTCAGGAAAGGGCCTGGGAGACTGAAGCCTTTTTCTACAAACAAGAAATGGGGGTTATGGAGAAGCTTTTGTACCTGGGAGGGCCCTGCTCAGTTTCAACACCATTGGGCTGCCACACCACTTGGGGCCACCACCAGCCCCTCAGCCTTCACTACTTGTCCAGGATTTTCATCAATGAGTAGAGTGTATTCAAGAACTTTCCTCTTTTTACCTCAGTCACATAGGCCTGATAAAGTATTTTACCTTCAACCACCTGCAAAGATCTCGTGATTTGATGGAAAGGCCATGATCTCGTCTTCTCAAAATGTTGGGGGCCCCCATTCTAATGTGTCTGAGACTCCACTGTTAGGTTGTATGGAAGTTAATCTTGATTTCTGTTTTTTTAAAGGTGACGTTCTTTATTAAAAAAATTTTTTTACAGACACTACTAAAGTCCCTTTTTTGCTATTCCCTTGGGCCCCTCAGTTCAGTTACCTCCCAGCTTCCTATAGGTACCATTTGAATTTGGTATATATTTTTCCAGATATCTCTCTATGCTATAAATATATATTATTGCATGTGCATGTGCTTTTCCTAAGTGGTGTCGTACTGCATTACTTATTTTATAGCTTATAACTATACTATTCAATAGTTTGTCTTGGTGACCTCTTCATGTTAGTTCCTGTAGTTCTACATCATTCCTTAAAACCATGCATGTTACTTATACTATAAAGCAGTTTAGTTATTCCCCTATTGGTATATATTTACTTCCATTTTTAAAATGACTGAACAGTGCTTCAGTGAACATTCTTATATATGTTTTCATGTGTACATGTGCGAGTGTTCCTGTACGGTAAATACTGAGGGTTTGCACATTTTTAGTTTGAATAGACACTGCAAAATTGTTCTTCTGGATAACATTTCACCATATAATACTGTAGAACCGTAAATTAATTATTTAAGACGTAAACATTGAATTTGTTTCTCAAAAGCAAAAGTTTGCTTTCAAACAAAAGTAGATGCATGACCCTATTCTAATAAGCTCTGGACCTAAAAATAGAATAGCCATCCTCTGTAGCTATAGGGACCAACTGGTATATTTTTAGTACACTTAGTTTTATGAGCAGAGAAATTATGCAATAAGACCAAATCAGGTGGAATTTACTTTGAGAATATAAATAACCTGACTACAACCTCAGCAGACAACAGAAGATTCCTGAAGGGTAAAGTATTATTTAAATATAACGTTCAGGAAGAGGTAAAATCGTCTCTCTCCTACAGAAATGAAGATGAACATGTGTTAAAACTGTATTTTCTCACCACAACAAGAGAGAAGCCCGTGAGCTGCAACGAAGACTCGACGCAGCCGCCCCCGCCATAAAAATGTATTTTCTCATGTGATATGAGGGAACCAGGCAGATGTTAATAATCAGTTCAAAGGGAAAAGTCAAAATAGCGTATATTTATAGGAATTCAAGGAATGTTGAGATGAGTTATAGTTAAAGACAAAACCTGTTTTTCCCCTGAGAAGGGGTAGGGAAGAAGTCAGTAAAACCACTACCACACAGGAAAAGTGTGTGTGTGTGTGTGTGTGTGTGTGTGCGTGTGTGTGTGTGTGTGTGTATCAGTTACCTACGTCTTACAGAGTTCCAAAATAGCTCAAAGACAATGATCTGGGCTACATAAGCCAGCAGTGTATGCTATATATCATGCATTTCATTGAAATACAAAATTTATTTATTCAAGACGAATAAATATCTCAAGTTTGCTGAAGCAGTACCAGACCTTGATGACCTGTGGATAGGTAACCTAGACTTGGTAGTCAGGCTCTGTGTAGAGGTGAAGGGAAGACAGTCACTGAAAGGATAGACTTTGAGTTTAGCTTTGGGAACTGCCATATTTAACTAATTCAGATGAGTCAGTGTCAAATAGACAAAGGGTTTGGGCCCTTCTTGCTATTCCTGAATAAGAATCCCAGTTTTACCTTAGGCTCTACCAAGAAACCTTGAACAAGTTCTCTAACCTCCCTGATTCTCAGTTTTCTTCATCAATAAAATGAGAATGATAATACTATCTTAATGAGAATGCAGTAGAATAATTCATCTCATTGTGAGGATTAAGTGATCTCCAAATGTAATTATAGCACAAAGCACAAACTCAATAAATGTAGTCCATGGTGTCACCCAGGTACCTCCTCAGGAAAGCTTATTCCATTCCTGTCAGGACCCAGTTTAAATGTCGTCTCAGAGAGGTCTTTCCTGACCATCCAACTTAAATACGTCGTTAGTCCTCACTTTACTGTTACTCATTCTTATTTTCATTACAGCACTTATTTGTGTTCGTTTGTTTTATTTCTTTAAACTTATTTATTGTCTGTCATCATTAGAAAGTCTCAAAAGAGTAATGACTTTTTGTCATATTACAGGTAGGACAATGCTTATCACTTATTTGCCACTAAATAAATGTTTCTTGAATGAACAGGGCAAATATTTTAAGTCTACCCTAGTAAAAATTCCTTAGAATCTATTCTCCTGGACCTTTCTTTAGGTACAATGAGCACACCAGCCATGAAAAGCTAGGGGAGATAAACTGTGGTGAGGGAAGAGCTGATGGGAGAACAGAAGGGCAAGATTATATGGAGATGTTAACAGAATGGAGAATATGGTGTAACAGGAAGGGAGAGGATGGGAGAGAAAGCCACAATCTGTTCTGACACAATCGTGGCATTAAGTTTTTGGATGTTTCATTTTACCTTTTGGATAAAGTGATGTAAGTATTTTTTCAGATTCATAAAATCCTAGAAATGAAAGATAATTTAGTCTGACTCTTTTTACACACACAGTGTTTTATAGATAAGAAAAAGGTCTGAGAGATGAAGTGACCAGTCCAAATGGCACAGTCAATCTGCTGATAGGACTGGGACCCCAGACTCTGATTTTTCTAATCTTATTCTAATTCTTTTTCTTAATATATGCTTTAGTTTGTCACATATTCAGAATGTTGAGTTATGTTCTGAACATTTCCATTTTCACAAATATCCTTTTTTCTCTTTCCCAATAGGTAGAAAATAGACCAAAGTATTACGGAAGAGAGTAAGTATGGATTATCAGAAAACATTTTGTAGATTGGAATGTATAAGAGAGGTAAATGGATGCTTTTAGTAAAAAAATAAAAGCAAGAGGAAGGAGGTATTCAAGTTTGAATGAGTTAAATTATTTTTCTGATTGTAAATGTAATTGTTGTAGTTGGTGAAAATATAGAAAATAAAGATAAGTGTAGAGAAGAAAATAGCATGGGAAAATGTGTATGCGATAATGTTAAAGATGCAAGCCATATATGTAAATAAATAATGCTAGATGTATATATATGAGGAAAAGTATATATTTGATTGTATGTGTTTATTAAGCATATAGATACATATACATACATGTATGCATGTAGTAAGGTATGGTGGTTTATTCTACATTTATACTTTTATTTTCCAAATTTTCTGTAAGTAAATTCATGCTACCCAGAAATAACTAATGTTAACAGTTTGAAGTATTATCTTCTGAAGATCTATTTTCTTAATGGTTTTTACAAAATTGAGTTATTATACATATACTTTTTATAGCCTGACTTTTCCATTTAATATTAATAATGAGCATTTTTCTATTTTATGAAAAATGTAATAATTTTTAAAGTCCTTAATTCTTCTGATTATTTAAAAAAAATAGAAATATAACCCTTCGAGGAAAAGAATAAAAATCACCTATAATCCCATCATTCCCCAAATAAAATCATTTGTTTTTCATGGCTGAAGATCATATCAGATAAACAATAATGTATATAACAAATATTTTAAAATTATCTAAAATTCTGTTTAAGTTTTCAGGACTCTTATGAGTAGAACCTAGGTGCTTAGGAGTTGAGGGGAGCCACTGGTGTTCTTTATGGTTATACCATAATTTAGTCATTTCTCTGCTTTTGGCATATAGGTTGACTTTAAACGATAGTATTAAAAGTAACACCGTAAGAAATACCTTAGTGCATTAATCTTTTTCTGGGGCGGAAATTTTGGGTCAGCTGGTATGAATAGTTTTAAGAGTCTTTAAATACCATCATCAAGTTGTGTTCCAAAATTGGTTTCCTTGAATGAGATTTTCTTCTGAATTAATTGGGTTTTTAGAAACAAGGAGATATTAAATTTTACTAACTTTATTAGTTGGTGTCATGTAAACTTAAAATAATATACCAATATACTAATCTAATATATGTGTTATTACCACAGATAGTTTACTGTCTTCTTACTCCTACAGAATCAGTGGACCTGGTTTTGAAAGATTGAGGAATTTAAGGAGATAAGAAATTCTAGGAGCCCATTGTTAAACCTCCTTGTTTTAATTGTCATGATTTGAGCGTATGTACTATAAACTGCTTTAAGACTTAAATTGAGAAAGACCGAACCTTTCCCATGAGAAAAATTTCAAAAAGTTGCCACTTGAGCCCTAATAATTTAAAGTTCTTAAATTATTAAGGTGCTATTTCAGGGCCTTTTCAAAATATCATTCCAAATTCAAGGGACTGTTGGGTTTTTTGTACCTTTAAAAGCTACGGGCTCATGTGAGCAGTTGTTCAATTCAGTTTTCTTTGAGTTAATGAAAGGACATAATATTTGTGTAAGTTCTTTATAAACTGTACATCACCATACGAATATAAGGTGGTTTTATATTTTTAATATTAATCATTAGTTACCACGGCTGTTTTTTAATTTTTCAGTGTTTTATGTCAGAATGTTACAGGTTGAATCTACTGTGTTTGTATAAGGAGTGTGTTATTTTTGTTTACTCTTCTTCCTCCTTTTTTCTCTGTTAATCAAAAATAGGGTTTTAGCAGGGAGTGAAAGCAAGTATTACAGTTGTTTGCTTTTGGCTTGAGTATGCAGTGATGCAGATTCTGCACATTATTGAGCAATCATGCCAATTAAGGGCAACCCAGGGTACCTGGAAAATTGCCAACTTAGACTCTGAGCCAAAATTTTTGGAGCAATGCCACTGGTGTGAAGAAGGGAAGTGGGACACATTGCTGAGTGTTTTTAAGCATGTCCATATGGTCAGGCAGCTACATAAGAAGGGAATTGTCCTCTTGAGACAGGTGGTTGGTCTTCGGTAGATGGATGTGAATTTTGATTCCGTGATTGTTAAATGGATTGGAGAGCTACTTCGGTGCTGTTCTTGTCACCACAGAGAAGCTGGCCCCGGGCCAGGCCCAGAGAAACACAAGCATAGTTAAACCCAACTGCTCCCCTTCAATTTTATGGCAGTACTTTGTCTAGAAATCAACAAGAGAAGGTGGGAGGTTTTGTTTTATCTTGTTTTATTGAAAAAGGTGGAAAGCATGCAGTTTCTGAATTGACTTTGTTTCTTAGGTTTCATGGCATGATCTCCCGAGAAGCAGCAGACCAGCTCTTGAGTGTAGCTGAGGGGAGCTACCTCATTCGGGAGAGCCAGCGTCAGCCAGGAACCTACACTTTGGCTTTAAGGTTGGTCATGGACCTGTAGTTATAACTGTGCCTCATTTAAAACCCTCTTAATAGAGGGCTTTCAATTTTAAAAGCATCCAGCATGTAATTGAATTGGTTCTTGTTTTCTTGGGACCTAATTACCATTTTAATAGCTTTGAGACTCTTAAAAAGTTCCTCATGAATGGTAGACTCAGTAATTAAGAACTGAAAAACTTCTAAGGCATTTTTATTGTAGCTGCTTTCTTCTATGTCATCTTACCCATTCCCTCCCATCTGTCCTGCTGTATCAGCTCCCATCTATTTCTTGAATAAGGAAAGGAACTAAAGAGAAAAGACCTTTGTAACTCGTAAAATTAAAGCCGATGTCATTTCTCTTGGGTTGGCTTTTGGTTCAAGCAGCTTTCCTTGGGAACTCCTGGCTCTTTCCTATCTACTGAACTTTGCCTAGCATTTTGGCTGTTCTTAGCTTACAACACAGTGGCCAGAAACAAGTATTTCCATTAACCCTGCAATAATAACAGAGCAATAATACAATAGCACGCTTATCCATTGGGCTAACCTCCTTCCAGGACTCTAACCTCATTTAATCTTCACAACAGGTCTAGGATGTGTGTACAATTTCTATCTCCACTTTACAGATAAGGAAACAGAGGACCTAGAGGTTGAGTAACTTGGCCAAGGTTATACATTTAATAATTCGTGTAGCTGGTATTTGAACCCAGACAATTTGGCTTCAGAGTCTATGCTCTTAATCACTCTACATTGCTGCCTCTCTAGTTTTGGAATAATTATCCATTGTCTTTGTTCATTCCTTCATTTGTTAATTCATGCATTCATTTATGCATTGTTTGGAAAAGATTTAAAAGTAGAAACTTTGAAGAAAGAGGTCAAAGAAATAACATTTCTTTTGGTAGCCACAGAGAGAGAAGAGAAAGGTAATATTATTGCTTAGGACTCTGATATGACCACGTCCAACTCCTTCTCCAATCACTTATGCCTGGGTGAGTGAGCAGGGACTGTTCTTACTCCCATCCACCAGATTTATTATTAATCTTTCTGGCAAAAGAATGGTATAATTTAGTATTTCTTCATGCTGAATTCTGAATCAATAGCATACTTGGACAATAGAGCTTGTTAACAGTTCATGGAAATCTGCTTTTATGGAAAATTATAAAGCGTAAATCCCCCTTCAGTTACTTAATTATGTTGCTTTTTCAGGTTTAAATTGTGGTATATAGGGGAAAAAATCTGGGCTGAGAACTTAAATACCTATTCATTTTGCCACTAAATGAGCTAGACGACTAATTTGGAGCAAATCACAGGTATTCTTGAAGCCAGCTGCTTCATCTTTCTATTCCTAACATTTTATAATTCTAGGATTCTACAATTCCACATATCCAAATAGATGGTCATCTGAGTGTCTGGGGTAGATAAGCCTTGATGTACAGGCTAGTGGGCCAAGATAAGCAAGAAGGAGGTGGGGTGAAAGGAAACAAAGCAATCTGTATACTCTCTTCCTTTTCCCTTTGTTGCCGTCTCCCCACCTTCTTCTGAGATCACGGGAATTTTAACTCAGTTTCGCCTCATTGCAAAGTTCAGGTACTTTCTATTATACTACATCGCCTCATAATGTGGTCATCACGCTGTTTTTTACTGAATAACACCAGCAAACGCCCTAGGGCCAAGGATTCAATGTGGAGAAAAGTAGCACCCAGATCTTCCAAATTCTTCCTCATTCCCACCCTCTCACCCTCTCTCATGCTACTCATGACTTTATAATCACTCACTGTCCACTTTGGCCCAGGAAATCCTAGAATTGGATTGAAGAATAGAGCAACATGGGATTGATGACAGTGCTTTTAATGTATAAGTCTGGGGTAACATGCAGCTTTCCTTTTGTTTTTGAAAATCATCATAAAGTTTTTACATGGAATAGAAATAGTAAAAGGGCTTGTAGTGGAGGTAGGGAATTTGTGAGTATGCGTGAGTAATTTACATGCTGAAATATGATTTTCTTTGTTTTGAACTAGATGTATGGTAGGGAAGTGTTAAACAGAATGTGAGATAGAAGTTGTATTGATATATCTCTTAATCTTATCTGATATTCCCCATTTCAACTAATGATTCTCCCAGTTAACATCAGTCTGTTTTTAACAGAATTCATGATCCACTGCGGTAGGGAGGCAGTTTGAATTTACAGCCATCATTGTTTATTATGCATTTGCTGTGTTAAACAAAGGCCCTAAAATTAGGAATAAGTCCTTGATTTCAAGTTGTTCCATAGTCACCTCAACCTCACAATATGTCCAAAACCGAACTCGATCAGTTTTCCTCCCAGATACGCTGAAACACCTGCATCCCTTTAATAGCTGGTGACGCTGTTATTTAGCCAATTCACAAGACCGAAAACAAGACATCATTTTTCTTTTATCTCAGTTCTGTTTTAAGATGTTTGTAGGCCTGGCCTTATTCATTTCGAGGCCTCCATCTTACACCATATCAAACACTATATCCCATATCAAATATATATATTTTGCTGTTAACTTCGTTTTTTTAAATATAAATTGCTTTTGAAATTAACTTTAGATTTCCTTTTATGTTTTGGAGCCACACCTTTTTATTCATATTTTATACCTTTTCATAGACTCTGGAAAGCCCAAGGTACTGTACCTATATTATCTAATGGTTAAAAGAACTTTTTCTTCTTGCTCATCTCACACAGCCAAGCCCAACAATCTTTTATTTCTTAAGTAATTTTCAAAATTTCCCCTTCTTGGGGCTTCCCTGGTGGCGCAGTGGTTGAGAGTCCGCCTGCCGATGCAGGGGACACAGGTTCGTGCCCCGGTCTGGGAAGATCCCACATGCCGCAGAGCGGCTGTGCCTGTGAGCCGTGGCCGCTGAGCCTGCGCGTCCGGAGCCTGTGCTCCACAACAGGAG